CAAAGATCTCCTCCATGAGGGTCATACTCCATGAATATTGAATCATTCCTCAAACAAACAACATAAACATGATCGTCATCATAAATACAAGCATATTTATTGAAAAAACACTGTACATGCACATGAAATGAGAGAGATCTTCTCCGAATTGTCCTCACCAACAATGTCATCTCAGGTGCTCAACCATGCTCAACTCTCTCATATTCAATCCATAAAATTCATATCAATATACTCCTCGTGATGTCTTCTATCATAAAATACCGTTAATTTCACTCTTCCCTAAATAATATAAAAATTATTAATAAAATTATTCTTCGTATTCTCAGGTGATGCACAGCAAGATCCACTCAAATCAATAATTCCCACAAATTACAGTATATCATCATCATAACATGTACTATCATAAAATATTATTACAATCAGGAAAGTGTCACTCTCTGTTGAACAGTGATGTGAAAAAGAAAATTTCATTGCATCGGTGGGAGACTACTGTGCAAACATGATGATTCAGTGAGCAAAATTAACATGAATGTATCACACTCATCGAGCATAATAATCGTGTCAAGTTGTAGAAGAATCTGTCAAGTAGGTATGCCGATCTCACTTGACCGTATCACCATAGGGATCACCTTCCGAACTTCCGAACAACTCCCATTCAATGAATTGACTTCATCAATGACTCCAATCATGATCATTGTTATTATTATGGATGGTATGATCACTACAACTCGTTAGAGTGATACTCTTGTCAAGTGAATGTCGAGTTCGGACTTGATCAGCACTCAAAATTTGATCATTCAGTTTCAATTTCGAGAATCATCCATTCCAAACACTTGATGATGAATACAATTCATGGATGATGATCTGTGGATGGAGTGTATTCAATTCCGAGGTATGAAATTGAAAGATGTATGAATCAATCATTGATGATGAGCGTCATGTTAATTTTCAAGGGCGAGTCGACGAGGCATTTTTTCAAAGTCTGCTTGTGTCCTTTGAAAGCCTGCAAGAGTTGATCCTTTCCATCAAACAAGTTCACTCCATCACCAATAAATCACACCACATAATTACATTTAAACCACAGTGTTCATCCATGTGGTCACCAGTGCGAGCAGATCATTCACGTCGAATCTTATGCTTGAACATATCCCTCAGTTGAGTGAGTCCTTTCTCGTTATCTACTTACCAAAATCGAAAAAGCTGAATAACATGTGTCGATCTCTTCGAATGTGATCACGTCCTTCAATATTTCCTATTCACTCCAAGAGAAGACTATTTTCAATTTTAAACACCAAGCATCAAAAAACACTGAGAAATTTTTCGCTGAAATTTTTTTTAATACCGTTAAAAATTTTCCATTTTGTGGACAAGTGCATTTTCTGAGAGTATAAATGTGTAGATCATGATATAGTTTGACAGTAATAAAAAATTAATATTGATAAATGTAAAGGGTTGTGGTTGCCTTTATGAGAAACCCAAACCCAAACCCAAACCCTAATTTTAGAGGATGGTCAACCACCACAGGACCTGATTTTTTTGGTACAAATATAGAGGCTATCTCAATATCCACTATAACAACAAGAAATCTTTCGCTTAATATCTCCTTCCTCTCTGCGTGGGACTAATTGATATTAAAAACAAGCTATATATTGTTATATTGAATCTTTTTAAAAATCCTACTGAGAGGAATCCAAACCCACAACAAACTTGAAACACACATAAAGATGATCACTATCAATGCAGTTCATCATGATTTATTCAAAATGATACAATCCATCAACTATAAACATGATCACTTGCTGAACGAAATTCAATAAATGAGATGACGATCACAAACATGAACACACCTTGCACACCATCCATTGAGTACACGCACAAATCATACAAATCATCAAACTGAACATATATTTTCAACAATGATCACAGCAAACAAATGCCAAATACAACAAGGTCACTTCTTG